AATTCTAAGAGAATTAGAATTTAGAGAGAAAAAATTTCCGCTTCACCCAGCCGGGAATCGAAGCCGGGTCTCCCAGATACGCACCGGGCACTCTCATCCTTTATTTTCCCTCCCTAGGTTAGAAATATACTATTCTCCCGCGAAGCGGGCGGGAAATGTAACTTTGCGCCCGCCGGGACGGAAACTATATTTTCCCACATAACTTGACACGATCGTTTGTTTGCAGGGAAGGTTGAGGGAAATACTCGATGCATTTTGAAGCTCGAGGGGTATTTGGAGGAGTATTTCCTCCATCGGAATTTCGGACACTGGAGGGCAGCATTTGATGTCAATGTGGTACAACTTGCACTTTCGCATTTCAATTATTTTGTTTATTCTCCCTTAGCAACGTGCCGTGGTTTTACCAAATTTTACCGATATAAAACCGTGCAGGTTGTACCACGTGACATCAAATGCGGCCCTCCTATTGGCCGAGATTCCGATGGGGGAAATACTCTGTCGAATACCACGTGGACTATATAAAACAACGAGGAATGCTGTAATTCAATTGGCTGATGTTTGAAATGGAGAAAATTACCAGTGAAATATGGAATTTCATTATTTTTTCCCTCAAATCAAATTCAATGTCGCTCTCCTGAATAATAGTAGCCAACTGGCCATGAAATTTCAATTCTTTTCTAACAGTACTCTTGTATTCTTCCGTAATTTTTTCTGAACTTTTTTCTCCGCGTGAATTCGTATTATTGCAAGGAAATTTCACAATTGATTCCAAGTGTTCCTAGATTTCCACCCATTGAATACATGCATTAAACGAGTCTGCAAAGGATCTCCAGTTGTCCTTGATCATTTTTTTCTGGGTCAAGTGGTCCCCGGCAGAAAATACAAATTCAAGTGGAAATTATTGATAGAACCAAGAGTTGTCGCCCCTACCCCCAGTGAATAAATAGAATGTACCCTAAATATTTTATCGACCTGAAAAGGTTTCGCGGACACCGCTGGTCTCGAAATTCATCCTCCCGTCCATTTAAATGAGTAATTAAATTGAATCACCAGTTTGGGTATCTCGTTACCCCTCTCCCCTCCCCCCGGATAATGAATAAATAAAAATGACACAGAGAGAACAAAAACCTGAAATCAAGAGCATTGTTTCCAAAAATGTTTTGAAGAAAACATTTTTTATTTCTACGAACTCAATTATAAAATTGAACGAGGGAAAATTCGAAAAACATGTGTTTTTGTCTTCAATTTTTCGCAATATTATTCGGAATCTTTCTGTTAAATTTCAGGTACTTTCACTCATATTTACTCTTATTTCATAGAATTATTCATCATAACAATTCAGGGACTTTCCTATCCTACATTTCAGGAATTCTTCCGGAAAAAGAAGAAAAAACATTTGAGTTAGAGCGCCTGAGAATTAAAATTCTTCGTGTCTGTGCTCAGGCGAAAATTCCTCATCGTGCACGGTTGAAAACAAATTTATTTCGTGGACAGTATCGTAGCAATCTCCAGGAAGACGACATTGAACTTGATTTCTGGGGAAGCGAATCTTGTAATTTTAGAGTATACTGAAAATTCAATAAAATTGGAAATTTTTCAACAGCAAAGTGATGATAATTTCCCAACAGGCTTAAACTGTCAATTCACACATGAAAATTAAATTCAAAAAAATATTTCCCTCAATTTTCCTGATTTTTATTAATCTTCATAGAATAATTAAACTAAAATTTACCCTTTCCATTGATTTTTTTCATTAAATTGTGAATTTCCAATGATGAAATATCTGGAAATTCCTGGAACTGTCATTTGATCAAAATTTCTAATAACAGTACTGGAAATTGCATCAAAAATGTTTAACAGTGTCACGTAATTCTCGCAATACCTCGGGAAATACCGGGATAAAACAGCTCGCCATTTTCCTATTTTCTACGTTTCCAACTTTCCACGTCATTCTTAAACAAGAACATGTCTCCCAAATTTGATAGAAATCTTTTGTCAATCAAGATCAATCTTCTGAATCACAGAGAAAAAAATTTTGGATTGTCAGGGAAATACTGGACACTGACTAGAATGACCCCGATTATCAGTGGTTTTTATTACTGAAATTTGGTGATCATTTTCCAAAAATTAGAGATGGGTTCCAGAAAATCAGTAACATTACTCTGAAAATTAGCGGTAATGTCCAGAAAAATCAATGACGGTGTCACCGGAAATTAGTGATGTCTCTGAACATTGGCGACAAAATTACGGAATTCACAATTTTTCCCTTCTTGAATTTAACAGTCGCAAATCCCTAACGAATGGGGATAAATTCCTGAAAATCAGTGACGTCTCCCTGGAAATTCGTGAGAGGTTTTTCTGTGATGTTAGAACAATGTTCACGATTTCAGAATATTATTCTCTGTGCGTAAAAAGAGTACTATGAGCTGGACAGTCTCCCTGTTATTGCATGCTATACCAAGAATATCTTGAGGGGTTGTAACCGTAATGGGAACACCCTGTGGCGAACTGCCGTGTCTCTTGTAAGTGGTCCCGTGTTGTCCAGGAGGTGCGGTTCAAGGTCAACGACCCCAAGGCCCACAGCAAGGGTGGAACACTGGAGAATACAATAAATGGACGGGCCGACGAGGAAGCACCGCCAGTGCCACAGCATTTTATACATCCTGGCAAAGACATAACGAAGTTGTATGGCACACCATGTATGTTTCCACTCTTTTATATATTAGAATAGGATCTATTATTCTCATGCAGAGCATCGGAGACGTACACTTGAGATGAAAAACACTATTATGCGGGATCTCTTTTCATTTTCTTTATTCGGAGTTTAATTCAATTGCCAACTTCACCACTTCGCTACGAATTTTATCTCCAGTTTATCAAATTATATTATTTCAAATTAAATCAAATTATATCAAATTATAAATTATATGAAATTAAATTATATTTTATACTCGAATGGGCTCTAGTTAAGACAACAGCCCCTATGGCATTTATGTTTTCTTTTATATTTTGTATACTGATTGTAACTCAAAATGCTGATACTATTACACAACAGGGTTCTTAGTATTTAAGGGATGGGAACAAAATGTAAAGACCCGAGAGGGTATACATGTGGCAAAATAAATAAATAAATTATACTCGAATGGGGAATTGGTATTTCAATTCGAGGATGATCATTTCGTATCAGCCCGGGTTGTACCAAGCGCTCTCCAGTGTAATACAAGGGTCAGACACTAAGTATGAGAATATAAGGGTCAAAAAGTGGAGCTTAAAAAATGAGGATCGGAATATTAGAGTCAAAAACTGAGGGCCTGAATGTAAAGGTGAAGGAATGAGAGTCAGAATGTTAAGGTTAAAAAAAGAGGGTCAGAATATTAGGATAAAAAAATTAGGGTCCGAATATAAAAGTAAAAAAAGTGGGTGTCAGGCAGTGAGGGTCATATAAGGGCTAAAAACGGGGATCAAGCATAACATATGAATTATATTTAGACCTTCATTGCCTGACACACACTATTTTTACTTTTATATTCTCACCCGAATGATTTGACCCTAATATTCTGACACTTAGTGCCTGACCCTTATACTACACTTAAGAGGGCTTGAAATACCCAACCCCCAATTGAGTATTCACCCCTCACATGCAAATGTGAACTTGTTTTCAAAATTGATTATTTCCAAATCTATGAAGAATAACTTGATCAAACAAACAAAATTGGAAAACAGAACACTATGATTTCAATTAAATACTGGTTTCATAATTTTGCATTCATTAGAAATAATCGAATTCAAGTCGTATTTAGCACACACTGCGCTTGGTAACAGAAGGGCCCCGTTCGTGAGGGGTTAAATATACTGGAATCAAGTATATTGTATACTCGAATCAAGAATAATACACTTGATTTAAGTATATTATTCTTCACAGCAAAAACGAATGTCTGAATTTCACACACCTTTTGTAGACATTTTTCAGACACTACAATACGTCTGAATAAAACGAAAATTTTTCTGAATTTCAAACATGAATGAAGATGTTTGGGCACCTGTTCGTCTGAAATTCACACATTTTTATGTCATTCAGATGTTTTTTAGTGTCTGAAAAATGTCTGCAAAAGGTGCGTAAAATTCAGACATTCATTTTTGCTGTGTTGAATCAAGTATATTTTATATTCGAATTAAAAATAAAATATACTTGATTCAAGTATATTTTATACTCAATTCCGGTATATTTTTTTGTCCGTGCAGTGACATATCCCTGAAAAACAAATTTCTTCTTTTCTCTGTGATCCTAAATGAATTCTAAAAGAATCTCATCATTTTCTTTTTCGAAAAGAGCACCTTAACATTTGTTGTTCAATTGGAATATCACAATGGCCGTATTTTACACGGAGAGAAATATTCATTAAAAATTACGTATCTTTTCCGCAATTCCGGAGCGAAATGTGGTTGTACGAAATTTTACGGAACTGTCGCGAAATTTTCCCAGAGCGTTCCGTAATTTTTACCTGAAACTCCTGTGAAAAATTACGATACCGTTACTTAAATTTTCTGAATCGATTCTGTAATCGGTGAGCGAATTGTGAGTTTCATAATTTTTACTGAACATTTCTCTCCATGTATCGTCCACCAAGCCCTCGAATTTCCCGATTTTTCTAAAATCCTTTTTTTGTCCACTTTACCACCGCGTCAGGTATAACGCCCTCGGATATTGACAAGTACTCTCGCATCGTATTTCCCGTGTGCTTCGTGTGCTTCAACCTGATGTACTGGATCATCTATCTCCACATCAGCGACGTAGTTGCCGACGATCTGGTGTTACTCGAGGAGGCAAAGTAGACGAATCCACCCGGGAACGAGAGAAAAAGTAGAAAAACTAATGGAATACTTCGCCGTAGATCGAAAAATGGATTTTTTAGAGAGACTACCATCGTTAAATACGGCGGAGATACTAAAACTTAAAACCGTGCTGTGACTAACCCTTCGACTTTCAGGCACTGTGCGGCACACTCGTCGCGTCGTCCAATTTTCTGTCTCACTGGCAGAAATGAAAAAAAATTCTATTAAAAAAAATCTGATAAATTGCGCCGAGTTCTACCGAGGGAGCCTACATCGTCGAACGTTCCAGAAAAATTAAAAAGTAAGATTTAAAAAAAAAAAAAACCATGAAAAACAAAAAAAAATATTAAAAAATTAACAATAAAGTATAAATATTAAATCAATGACCATGAGTCGGTGAAAAAAAAATTACCGATTTCCAAATGGTCCACATTAACGCTCAATGACTCTTCCTCGATCGAGGGAACGCAAAACGATCAGCGGAAATCGACGTCTCGTGGTGCATTACACCCCCGCATCAGCACCGGAAGCAGGTATTCCTGTCAATGCGGAATACGTTAAAACGTGTGCATTAAACGAGTGATTTAAAAAAGTCCGGAATAAAATTGGTAAAAATGGAAGCACAAGGAGAAATGACTGGAGAGGTCGGATTTCCGGGATCGTGAAAGCGCAACGAAGACTGAAGGATGTCGAGCCGAGAGATAAAACGAAGCACCGATGAAAATATATATATATATTAACCTAGGAAATTGATGATAAAGTGAATGAGAAAATCGAAGGTATTAAAAAAAGTTCATGGAGAAGTGAAAAAATGTTATAGTTGATGAAGAACGGGGCGAGTGTGAGGACTCGTTTGATTCCATAAAAAAAATATTAATGTAGTGTGCAGTGCCGAGAAAGCCTCGAGAGACGATTATTATATATTATACATGAAAAATTATAAATATTATATACATATACCTTTAAAGCATTGCCAGTATATCTCTAGTAACGGTCAAAGATTAAAAAGAGCAAAAATATTGATTAATTACATACAACAGGAATAAGGGAAATTAAAAAAAAACTTCGGTATAAAAACGTCAATTTAGCCATACTGAATAGTTTGACATAAGCTACGACTAATAGGCATTAAATAACGGGGCTCAACAGAACGGTGGGTTAACAATTGCGATTGAGGATTGATTGCACTGGAAAATAGAGAAAAAAATGTGGGAAATCGATGGACTCAATTTTTCAGGAAGAAATAAAAAAACTAATGGTCGTTCGAGTGGATGAGAAAGTTGAAGAGAGTTGAATGGGACTGCAGCGAAGCGTTTCATGTTTCGGTTTGCAAGGACATCTTTTTTTATGGAACAAGGGGGCATCCGGAGAAATGACGCACTTGAATCAAATTAACGTCTTTATTCTACGTTTTTATATTCATTGCAACAATATTTTTACTGGAAATTAATAAACTCGTGCGTTTATTGCAATGGAAATATTTCAATTATATGAAATAAATGATCGATTACGTGTTAATAAATTTGTTTTCTTTTCTATCAAGGAGACATTCGTTGGTATTTAATAAACTCATCGATTTGATTCCCATAAATCATTTCTCTGGATGTGATTCGAAGAGAAGGAATCAGCCTTAATATTAAATTGAAAACGAGGGAATTTATTTAACATGAACAAAGTTAGTTAACTACCATTAATTAATTAATCCATCACACATGGAGTGGAATTTTCAGGGGTTACGTCCCGCGAACTGCGCCACGTAGATCTTCGCGATTGTCATTATTTCATGTAAATAATGATTGATTGATGTTCCAGTTTTAAAGTAGTTTAATAATAATTTTTACGCATTCGACGTGCAACTGAGCCGCCCGGTCTGGAAAGCTACATCATTCCGCGAGAATTCCCCGCGCCTCAAGCATTTATTCATTAAAATTCTTCTTACAATTTCATGTACATTCATAAATTTCTATCCGCAATTTCCCTGCGTGCATGAATCAATGAATTTTCCTCCCACGATGGAATGATCATCGATACACTCGATGTGCCCTGGCGAAGTGTGAAATATTTTCCAGGCTGGGAGGCACGGGAAATGTATAAAGATCGAATGCCACAGGAGGGCCATATGCAGGGAGAGTAGAGTATGAATTTATCACCATCTTATTCCACACGCAATATATCCTGCCGGTGGGGAGGAGAAAATACTCGCGAAGGGAGTCGTAAACTCAAAGGAAAATTCAGTTGTTGAGATTGAAGATGTTCGAAGAAAAAAAAACTCAATTCAATTCACCTTTACACTTACTTATTTCAGTTCCATTCAATAGCAAGTGCATTCGGTTTTGTCGTTTAAAAAATTCTATTCCATCTTTCCTCCATGTTAGGAACTAATTAAAAATCCCACATGACTTTTTCCTCATGCTCTATTGTTTTCATTTTTGGTCATAGTTAGAATATTCATTGTTGAATTTATAAAATCGAAAAAAAAACTGAATTCAATTTCATTTTACAATCCAGGAACGTTCAGCCAGAATTGCAATTCGATTTTGTCAATAAAAAAAATTTTACTCCGTCTGTCTTTCCCATTACCTGCTGAGTAATAGTATTTATACAGAGACTTTCTCTCCTCTATCTTATCCACCCCCACACGATTTATTCTCATTCCGTATTGTTTTTCTATTTTTCACTAAATTCAATTCCATTCTATAATTCTCCGCCACAATTTCAATTCAGTTTTGTCCTTCAAAAAAAATCTACTTCATCTGTCTTTCAAATTATCAACTGATTAATATTATTTATACAGTGGCTTCCTCTCCCCTATCTTCTTCACCCCCGCATGAATTCTTTCTCATCATTCCCATCATATCCTTCTTATTCACAATCAGAATATATATTATTAGATCCGTAAATTGAAAGAAAAATTCGAAATTTGGAAAAAGAAACACTGGAGCATTCAATAACAATTCCGGTTTTGTCATAAAGAAACTGTCTGCTCCATCTTCCCCATCACCAATTAATTAATAATATTCATACACTGACTTTCTTTCCCCCGTCTTATCCACCCTCACCCGACTTAAACTTTACCATCCCCTATTGTTTTTCTATTTTCATTCGCAAGCAGAAAAAACTCGAAGAAAAATTCGAGTCCTAAAAAACAAACACTAAATGCAATTCCATTCTATAATTCCGTCACAATTTCAATTCAGTTTTGTCCTTCAAAAAAAATCTACTTCATCTGTCTTTCAAATTATCAACTGATTAATATTATTTATACAGTGGCTTCCTCTCCCCTATCTTCTTCACCCCCGCATGAATTCTTTCTCATCATTCCCATCATATCCTTCTTATTCACAATCAGAATATATATTATTAGATCCGTAAATTGAAAGAAAAATTCGAAATTTGGAAAAAGAAACACTGGAGCATTCAATAACAATTCCGGTTTTGTCATAAAGAAACTGTCTGCTCCATCTTCCCCATCACCAATTAATTAATAATATTCATACACTGACTTTCTTTCCCCCGTCTTATCCACCCTCACCCGACTTAAACCTTATCATCCCCCATTGTTTTTCTATTTTCATTCCCCAGCAGAAACAACTCCAGGAAAAAATCTAATCTAAAAAAAAGCACTAAATTCAATTCTATTCTGCAACTCCCATTCCAGTAGCACTCCATCACAATGGCAATTCAGTCGTGTCATTAAAAAAATGTCTACTCCGTCTGTCTTTCCCATTACCAACTGATTAACGGTATTTATACAGCAACTTTCTCTCCCCTACGTTACCACCCCCCACAAGATTTTTTTCCTTATCATCCCCTATTCTTTTTGTCTTTACGCTCCCCCCGTCGACGTCAACGCGTACGGGCTTAATTTCTCTCCCGATCCTCACCCCATTTCTCCTCCCTTTCTTCCCTTATTTTCTTTTTTCTTCCCAGTATGAGTGAGAGTGGGAGGACGCCGGGATGTGGAAACTTGCCATTCAGGATATCGACCAGACACGCCCAGCCATCTCTGTCCTACCCTCTCTCATTTCTCTCTTCGTACCCCAGTTCTCTCCTATCTTCTCCTCTCCTACGTGTGTAACAACTCGCACCACTATTCACGAATAGTCTGACAGCCCAGACTATTGGTGGGAAGAGGACGGAAGTATGAGGGGGCTGAATAAAAGGAAAGAAAGATGGAACAAAAAAGTTAAGATAAAACAAGAAGAAATGAGAGTGAATCTTTCCTCATCCTCAACCTACGACATTTCCATCTAAATAGCTTCAGCTATGTCGCAGTAACTCTCTTTACGATTAATTCCACGTCTCCGATCTCCCCTCACCCCTCCGCCCCACCCCATACTTAATTGCGTCCCGTCTACACTCGCGTACAATTTTTATTTCAACTAATATTTCCATTCGTTCATTTTCTTTGAATGTCTTCACTGCTCAAATGGAATTCCATTCAAATGCCCCCCTTTCATTCAATAGAAAATAAAGAGTAAATTTATCCTCGAAAATTGGTCGAGCGAAAGCCCGAGGATTTGCACCAGACACGTATCAAGGAATATTCCAATTCTCTCTCGACTACCACTTGAATGTCGCCGAAAGGCCTGCAAAAAATTCACTTTTCTACTTGTAAAAAAAAACGAGAGGAATCATAAACAAAAAATGTCATGAAAGGATAGAGTGGAATTGCTCTCGATCGAAGTGAGCGCAACGTTCATTTTATATATTCGCCTCGCGTGTCGTCTGCTTCCTCGAGACTTCATGTGAAACAATTTATTTCAATTTGAACCCACGTTGCCGCGATTTACTGAGAACATTTTTCTCCAGTTCATTTATTCTCAATTTCATTTTTTTTCCACGCGCTGACATTTCGGAAATCACGGCTGATGTATATTTCCGTATATATCATCATGAAATTGGTGAATTGTTAGTGTGTCAGTGCTATTCGTCATTGGTGAAAATTTTCTGCTGATTTTTTTTGTGGACGGTTTATGATATTCAAAGACTCGGTGGATAATCATGTTTCCATTGCGATGAGAAAACTCAGTTCTCGGTGTCAGACGTCTTTGGTGGATAATTCTAAAATATTTGGAAACGGTTTAGAATTGTCTACG